GAAGGGAGAGTCGGACACTCCGTAGCGCTGTGCCATCGGCAGTTCTTCTTTTTGTTGCTGTTGTTGTTTTTGCTGGACCATCGGACCGCGGTCTCTGCCCGACAGGCGCATTGCACTACAGATGTGGTCTCCAGACCTAGAATTACTGTACAGGAGACCCGACCTAGAAACTGCGTAAGCTGAAACGGACTACAGGAGTTTTATCTGCGACGTAAGTTTATTCAGGTGCGGTGGCGTTTTTCTATTTTTTTCTTTGTGTTAAGTTAGGTTCGTTTTTGGAAACGAACCATGTCGACAAGCGCACCCGGGGACGTTGGTCCCGGGGCGAGTAGGAGCGGATCGGCAAGGGCGTCGAGGATCCCGCGAGGTCCTCGCACCCGAATCCAGGCCAATACGGCCACGGATCCCGAAGGTCAAGAATCCCCGGCGGGGGTTGAAGCCGACAAGGACAACCTTTCCTACAGGTTCGAGAAGATGGGCGAGGAAATTCGCCAAGAGATGACGAAAAATCTCGAGGCTGAATTAGCCCTCGTCCGGAAGCAACTGGAGTTGGAAGTATCCGAGTTCCACACCGTTTTGGGAGAGCTGTCGGCTCGAGTGGATCTCGTCGAGAAGGAGCGAGGTGAGGCGACCGACGGTCTGGAGCCGGAGGTCCTAGCCTCGTTGAAAATTTCAGTCAAGGACGCGAGGCGCGACGCGAATCAAGCCTTGGAGTCCTTAGGAAAATTTAGAACAAGCATCGATGACCGATTCCATCGCGCCGCGCAACGTCTGAAGGACCTCGAGCAGGCCGCAGATCAAGCTCCGCAACGATCGGACGACGAGCCGCTCCCTTCGGATAGAGAGGGCGACCGCCGGTCGTAGAAAGACAAGCCCGCTCGGCAGCGGAGTTCTAAGTCGAAGCCCTCGAAGAAGGGCAATCGACGTACAAGCAAGGGTCACTGTAGTGACGATCCGGAGAACCGCAACTCACAGTCAGAGTCGCTTGATCCCTCCGAAGATGGTAACGGCGGTTCGTCGAACCATTCGGGCAATTCCGAACGCCGTTCAGAAGAAGGAAACGGAATTTCGTCAAGCAAGAAAATTTCCTCCAGACGAGGCGGAGTCACTTCGTCCGCCTCGCGGAGAGACAAGGACGCGGAGCCCGAAGATGTCGCAACGCGGCGTGGGCCGCGATGGGAGGAGTTGGAGGAGCTGAATCCGACCAACTACCTCTTCAAGAAGTTACTTTCGTACCGAACGTACCGCTTGCGGAACCCGCAGACATATTTGTCAAGTTCCCGGCGGACCGCCGTACGAAAAATCAGGAGAGATATTCCGCCTAAGGTGAAGAAGGACAACACGTTCACAGGTGAGGACGGGGTCCTTGTGTTGGATTTTTTGGCAAAATTAGTTCAAGAGTTTGATACTCAAGAAATGAACGAGGGGCAAGCGATCCGCTTGTTGCCCGAATTTTTAAGCGGCATCGCCTTGAGACAGTACACTTCGGTGTCTCAGACGACCGGGGCCCATCAGGGAAAGGTATCCGTTTGGCCGGAGGCCGTACAGTGGTTGTTGAGGAGTTTCGCAACCGACGACGCCATCCGTCAAGCCGTGCGCGCATTGCGAGAAGTTCAGCAAAGACCGTCTGAAGACGAGATGAAATTTTATATCCGTCTGACGGACGCAAGCAATCGATGTGGAAACGTATATTCGATGGAAGAACAAATGACGATGTTTATTGAAGGACTCGATTCGAGTATCAAGCCGATGGTATCTCAATACCGGCAAGACAATCGGGACGTTTCGTTTTTGAGACTAGTTAATTACGCGAAGGCGCATGGCTCGGCGAGCCGCGCTAAGGACAAGAAGACCAAGAAGGTCACGATCCAGACGCCGTCGACAATTAGGGCGGGTAAGAAGCCGAGGGTTTCTTATCCCGGTCGCAAAAGTCACGCCGCAGTCTATTTAGCCGAGTCCATGTCCGCGTCAGATGAGCGCGGTGCGCATGGAAGTAGCGAAAATCACTACGAAGGAGCGTTAGTAGCCGAAGGCGAGTTCATTGAGCCATCGGAGGGCTACGGACACGAGGACTACGGGGACAGCGGGTCGTCAACTTTACCGACACCCGCATACACGACGGAGTCGTTTTCAGAGCCCACGGATCCCGTGATGATGTTTCGGGCGAGCGGCCACGCGCCGGCGCCGCGCATTCCGATGGAAGACAAGGGTACGACGTTTCGAAGACCAGGCTGGATGGGAAGGCCGCAACGTCAAGGAAGGCGCCTGCCCGTGGTGGACCTAGGACGCAGTATCCCGTCAAGACGCACGGACTGGTGTGCTGTCATTGCTATGAAAAGGGGCACGCCGCGCCAACGTGCATTCTTTCCCTCCGGGAAATGCACCGAGTTTTGGAGAATTATGAGGCGTTGTCTTCGATGGAGAGGTTAGGGATACAATCGACGAGTTACCTGAAGGTCAAGAATTGGTTCGATTCGCAGACGGCGAGCACGCCGAGTGCTTCAACGCCGAGGTCGAACCAACCCTTCAGAGGGCCCGCCGCGGGGCCCGCGCCGTCGGATGTCAGAAGGGTCCCACAGCGGCAGGAAAACTAGAGAGGGGAATCTCGCATGAGTCGCGAGAGGCACAGGGTCGACGTACTGTGCCCGGGGCTCAGCCTCGTTCCCCGTCTCTAAGGGAAAAATCAGGCCCCGATGAGGAGGTTGTTGGATTGGTGGATAAGCCCAAAGGGCCAGCTCAAGTCAAGAAAATTTTGAGCCGAGCCCGAGATCATCCGCTGGAAGAAGTTCGAAGACCCTGGTACAGGGTTAAGCGAAGGGAGTGTCCCGAGAAGATTTTGGTTGTTGTGCGAAAAAACTACAAAGTTTACGCGGATATCGGACCCACAATTGGATTGATGAGCCGGGTGCTGTCTGTTTTAGACACCGGCGCGGGACCAAACCTTGTGTGAAAATCGGAACTCCCAGCTGGAATGGAATCTCTAGTGTCCTACGGACCGACCCAAGATATCGGCGACGCGAACAATAGGCCACTCCGGACTCTCGGAACCATCAGAATGCCTGTGAGGCTTGGAAAATTTGTGGCCGCAGCCGAGTTTATTGTATGCGAAAAACTAGCCTTCCCGCTAATTCTAGGCGCGGACTACTGTGACCGGTTTGTGGAAGCAATTTATCCAAGGAAGAAAACGGTTGAGTTGGCGGATTTCTCGGAGGTTCCCATAGTTAGGCGGTTCTCGACGAAAAAAGGAAAGAAGAATCTCGTCGCGGGAGAGGACGAGAATGATGGAAAGGGGGAGCAATTTTCCCCTAAGGTAAAAGTAGCAAGAGCCACGACTATCGAGCCAGGGACGCAACGCGTCGTGGAATGCACCTCGAAGAGGGCGGGCTTGGTTGTGGTTCAGCCGTACTCATCGTTGTACGAAAGGCACGGGCTGACGTGCACAAATGGTGTTGTTCAGGTCGAGCCTGACAGGCCATTTCGTTTACTCGTTGCGAATTTTAGGACGTACCCTGTCAGGGTGCAAACAGGCCTAGTGGTGGCAGAATTATTACCGCACCCGAGAGTCGCGCTCGAGAGCAAAACCACCATTGGAGAAGTTCTCGGAATTCAAGAAAGGAAGAAGGAAAAATTTCCTAATTCCACCAAGACGCCTACGGGCGAGACAAGATGCGAACCGTCGGATCAAGCGCGCGAGGACCAGCCAGAAGACCGGTCGGCAGGGCTCTCCGCGTCGGCATCTACGAAGCCGCAACGCAGGATTGAGCCGCCACCGCCAGACGTGGAGGACCTCGACCTGAGCCACGTGCCGGACCGGCTGCGCGAGCGGTTCCGTCGGATGTTGAAGAAGTATTCAAGGATGTAGGATGGGACGCTTGGCGAAATTAATACCACCGTCCATCGGATCGAGTTGATCCCCGAGACTCGTCCCATCGCACAAGCCCCGTATCGGGCCGGGCCTAAAGCCCGCGAAGTAGAAGATACAGAGGTGCAGAAGATGTTGGAGGCAGGAGTGATAGAACCAGCGCAGTCAGAATGGGCGTCGCTCGTGTTGCTGGTGCCCAATCCGGACGGGTCAATGCGCTTTTGCGTAGACTACCGCAGGCTGAACGCAGTGACGGTGAAGGACACGTACCCCTTACCGCGCATGGATGAGTGCCTGGACTCGCTTGGTGACACCAAGGTTTTCTCCGCGTTGGACGCGATCTCGGGATATTTTCGTGCACTGAGGGGGAAGGGGTGGGATCCCCCTCTGGCAGAGCGCGCGCGTTCGGGGGCGCGTGTAGGGGGTTATCGGGAGACCACCCGTAAGGGACCGGTACGGGGCCGGGCGCGAAGCGCAGTAGGGAAAGTAAGGGAAAAAGTGGGGAAACAGAGCCCAGGAGGGGCGGAGCGGTAGGGACAGCTATCGCGCGGAGAGCCGGGCGTGGCGGGACGACGCGCGCGGTAGAGACAGGAGGGAATCGGGACGTAGATGGCTCGCAGGGTACCGTCGTGGGACGGGGACCGACGCGAGGCTACGACTCCGTTCCAGAAACCCGAGTTGTAGACCCAAAGCTTCGTACGGTTTTACTTAGGGTCGGACGTCGGCTATATACTAGCCGACGTCGGAACTATAATTAATTAAACTAAAAATTGTAAATTGGACGACGGCGGCGATGGCCGGAGAAACTCCTCTTGGGGAGGTATGACAACCACTACACGTGGGGAATGACACGATTAACGTGAGGGATAACACGGGTACACGTGGGTAGAACTGTCAGTATTTCGACAGGGCTCCATGGAGCTTACACCCGGACACGAGCGGGGGGGGTTTGGATACACGGTTACACGTGGTATATATCTCACTTATGATAGTGAGGCATTCCGCGTGTGCTACAGTACAGCACTGCGATTACCCGGGGCGGTCAGTGCTCTACAGATATCGGCAGATGCCTATCCCTGAGCGCGAACGCGACAAGACCGCATTTTCGTGTCACTCAGGACTGTATCGCTTCTCAAGAATGCCCTTCTGGCTAACTAACGCGCCAGCGACGTTTCAGAGAGCAATGGATATCCTGCTCTCTTCGTTCCGTTGGAAGTGCTGTTTGGTGTATCTGGACGACATAATGATTTTTAGCAAGTCGTGGGAGGAGCACATCGTGCACGTGGATGAAATACTTTCTGTATTGGAGCAGGCAGGTGTGAAGTTCAAGCTTCGCAAGTGTGAATTTTCGTCGAAAAGATCAAGTACCTGGGCCATGTAGTTCGGCCAGGTACATTGGAAGTGGACGCTGCGCGAACCGTCGCATTGGAACAAGTGAGGTACCCTCAAACGCAGACCCAGCTCAGGAGCTTCTTGGGACTTTGTAATGTCTACCGCAAATTCGTTCCCCATTATGCGAAAATCGCGCATCCGCTCAATCAACTGTTGAAGAAGGGACAACCGGTCCAGTTGGAAGGATTCGACGAACCGTGCAAGAAAGCTTTTCATAAGCTCCAGGACGCCATCTTGGGACCGCCGGTGTTGGCGCTGCCGAAGAAGAACCTACCCTACTCGGTAGATGCCGATGCAAGCGACTACCAAATAGGCGCTGCACTATTTCAAACACACCCGGATGCGCAAAGCAAACCCATCGGGTTCTTTTCAAGAACGTTAGCCGCAGCCGAGAGAAATTATTCTGTATCAGAAAAAGAATGTCTAGCGGTAATTTGGGCCGTACAGACTTTAAGACCATATCTATATGGCGAGCACTTCATTGTGCATACCGACCATGCCCTCATTGAGGTGGTTGATGAACGTAACCGACCCCAGCGGGAGATTAATCTGATGGAGGCTACGCCTCTCGGAATTCGATTTTGAAATCAAGTACAAAAAGGGAAGGGCTAACAGCCAGGCGGACGCTTTGGCAAGGTTGCGAACCGCAGGAGAAACCGTCGACGAAATCGACGACGAAATCCCATGCTTTATGGCCGAACCGGCCGAGGGTACAGTGGAGGACGAGGAAAGTTTTGACGCGGCAGACAACATCCTCGCTCTTGAGGGGGGAACGCCCCTGATCGCCTCGATCAATTCCAAGCTGTCACTCCGGAGGAGCTCAGTCGCGAGCAAGCCGTCGACCCCTTCTGCAACCGCATCAAGGAAGAAATGGACGCTGGAAAGGTGAGAACGTTCAGCACGGAGACCGAAGAACTCGAATGAACTCTATGCCGTACCGCGGAGGAGTTTGTACAAGTGGTAATACCACAATCGTTAAGGGACCGCGTCCTAGGGTTGAGCCACTACGCAAAATTGGCAGGCCACCCGGGAGGCAGGAAACTTTACAAGATTTTGAGAAGATATTTTTATTGGCCTACGATGGCCCTAGACTGCTACGCAGTCGCGAAGAATTGCGCCGCATGTGCGCCGGAAAGGGTGAAGTTAAGAAGAAACACGAAGGAAATGAAGCTGTTCACGCCCAAAGCTCCGCTGGAATTTGTCGCCATCGACATCCTCGGCGAGCTGATTACAACTAAGCGAGGAAATCGGTATATTCTCGTGATCAGCTATCGATACTCGAAACTGGTACGAACCGTACCGTTGAAGAAGATATCAGCTGCGCACATCGCACAAGCCTTCGTTCATCATTGGGTATTCGTGTACGGACCGCCGGTCAAGCTGCTGTCCGACAATGGAACACAGTTCACAGCCCGGTTCTTTCAGAACGTCTGTGGAATTCTCGGCATCCGCAATGTGTTCACGACTACGTACCACCCGCAAGCCAACGGCGAAGTTGAGAGATTTAACCGCACGCTGACTTCCGCGTTGCGAAAATACGTTTGAGAGTATCCCACGGACTGGGACTTATTTAGCGACGCTGTGACGTTCACCTACAACACACAGGTTCATCGAACTACGAACATTGCGCCCTTCGAGCTGGTGTTGGCTCGGGCGCCGGGAAACATTGCGTTACAAGCGCAACCAACATTGGAGAATTTCAGCTCGTCACGAGCATACTACCTGAAATGGCAGTCGTGGTTGGAGAGCCTAATGCGAAGCGCCGATAGCAGTTTGCGAAAGGAACAAGCCCGGTACAAGCGAAATTTCGACGCACGCCTTCGAAAACCGCAATACGAGATCCCACCGGGGTCATACGTGTTCCTCCGGAAGGAGCAGGGCACGGCTAGCGAACCAAAACACAAGCTCGCACAAGTCGTTACAGGACCTTATCAGGTCAGAAGATCGGACCAACACACGGTAGTCATTGCCATTGGCGATCAGGAGGAACGCGTATCGCGAGACAGGGTGGAGTTAGCCCCAAGCCCGATGGACTATGCGCCAATAACTGGCCTACGTCAAGCGCTACAGTTCTTGGGAGAGCCGGAGCTAAACGAAAAAGGAGAGGTACGGGAGGACGACGAACGTCCTCACACCCGTGCGCCTACGTCAGGGGATCAGGATGATTTAGTTGGTCAAACGCCGACAGCGGAGACACTTCCAGGTCTACGAGAGTTCGGAAAGTCCAGAGATGAGGATGAGCCGCTGGCTCTTTGGAAGGAGGAACGACAGTTGGACACGCAGGAAGAAGAAACTGAGAGTCAGGAGTATGGGAAAAGATTATCCTTGCCCGCGCAGATCGCGCAAGCGCAATCAGGATAGTGGTAACCAAGAATTTCACATGTCAGTGTCAGTGCGGTAATCCGCGCGGGGCATAGCGAGCCGACCTGAGGGTCGAGAAAAGGAGAATGATGAGATGGAACGAACCAGGTGAGGGGCCTTCAGACAGCCAACCCGCAAGTAGAAGCAGCGCGCGCACGAGTAGGATGAGGTCGTGATGAGATACTCAGGTCAGAAGTCGCGTAACGATGTGCCAAGCGAAGAAAGAACGCTGGAAGAACGGGGACATAGACTGGAAAGTCCACCTCCTTCACTCTTACCTTCATAACTGTTCCGTCTCGTTTTTGTTTTATTTGTGATTGCTTTTGTGTTGTTCGATTTTATTTTATTTTTGAGACGTTAGGGACACGACCCCGCACCGCGGAGGTCCGTCAGCAAGTCTATGAGAAGTCCAAGGAGGACATTGAAGAGGCGATGATCTTCGAGATCAATTCCGCCTTTGACAAGGTTACGGCCGACTCCCGCGTCGCGGGATTCTCACCATTCAGGGCAAGGCCGAGGAGGAGCTAAGAGACGTAGGAGAACATGACTCTACGACGGGTGTTCCTACGTCGTGGATGGAGCCAGAAGGAGATGAGGCACTACACACGCGCTTTACGAACGAGGGTATTTTTCGACTCTAAGGCAAGACGCCAGAGAGGCAGAGCTGAAACAACGATTCTGACATGCTGTCTGCATCTCTAGGGGACGTGAAGGAGAGGACAATCTGTCCAATCTGACCGAGCTGGAGGAGGTGCTAACAGGGGTTCAAAGTTGGGTTGCAGGTCGTCGAAGCCGGTTCATTTTCGATGATATATGGTCGCGCAACAAAAATGACGAGAGAATCTTGCTAAAACTCTCCCACGCTGCCAGCATCGCGGCGCGAAATGGTGAGCCAACCGGCAAGGTTTTGTATCCCACAAGAGATCCGACATTGACAGAGCGGGGCTACAGGAGTCACGGTCAAAAAGAAAAATCAAGAGAGGGTTGCACCGGAAATATACCGGAGTTGTGAAGGTGGTACCTGAAAACGCTCAAAGAGACCAGAGGGACAGGGGGAAATCGGCGCACAGGAAGCAAGGGACGAGTACGAATCGCTCTACGCAAAGCTTCGCTCGTCTGTACAGGTTCTGGACGCCCGTGGCAGCAAAAGGTCTTCGTCTTTCGAGGATACGCACCGCGCATTGCGTGTCATGAACAAACCGGATATGATCCGTCTGGCAGAGTTGAGGGATTCATGGGGAAAACGTGATGCTAGCATCGCAAGAAAGTATGCGACGCATATGAACAGTGTGGGGTCGGTTGACTTTCGAGATTTGGCGAACAGGAAAGGCCAAGTGGTAAGTCCTCATGATCTTACGCAGAATTTCGCAGTCTACGAAGACGACCGCGGGTAGAGGCTCTAGCTGGAACCAAAGGTGGTGTTGGAAGCTGTCTGACAGCTACAGGAAGAAATGACTGTGATCAACGTTATTGTTGACGATCAAGGTCTCGAGGGTAGCGGGGCGGACAAGCGATATTTTTTCGAAAATATTTGTTGACTGCTGGGCAGAGCTGAGCTGTTTGCTTGTTAGTGCGCGGTGGGTGATCAAGGTTTTTGTTGATGAAGGGTGTGTGACAACGGGAGGCGTACCTCTTGAGGATGAAGAGACGCACCACGATACGAGGGGAGAGTCCGAAGGGCAGGCACTTGTTGTTGGATGGCCCACTGCGTAAGCCGCGGGACCTCCCCGAGTACACCGCAACAACACCCCACAAATATCGACAAGTGTCGCGATGCCCAAGTGGAACACAGGACACCGCTTAGAATTTTCAATTAATTTTAAGGAGAAAGCGACGCGGTCGAGCGCATGGGACGCTGAGCCTTTTTGGGATAAGTGATCTGCACACGGTTCGCGACCACGACGAACGTTGCCTCTGTCGAGACAACGTCATCCGATCGCGCTTATCTCTTTTCTTTTTGTCAATGTTTTTGTTTTGGGGTTTGCTTTCTATTTTGTTTTGTCACATCCTAGATGTGACCCCCCCACCCCACCTCACACTACGGACGCCGGTCAGCCGACATGTTACGATCAAGAGGGGGCTCAACCGGGACCCGGAACGAGGGGGATGACTCTCCGAGGCGCGCGAAGGACGATCAAGAGAAAGACCCGAGGGGTGCAAAGCTGACAGTACGATCCGCATCGCGGAAAGACGTGTTGGAAGTAGTGAAGGATGCCCGTCGACCTTGTACCCAACTTTAATTCTGTCGCGACTCCCTTTATTACTATTTTTCCTTCTGGGGATGAGCAGGAACCATCGACAAGACACACATCAAAGTACAGCATCCGATCGCGAGAGCAGGACGGCGCTCGCCGAAGGGAAACGATGGCTCGCGTGTAGAAGAACAAAAGTTTCGTGGACACGCGAGGAAGACGGGTACGACTACCGAAAACGAGGACGGTGTGCAAATGGCGAGTAACCTTCGCAAGGACTTTACCAAGTATCGACGATTTGGTACTGTAGGCTCTGAAGCCTGCGCGAGAGCAGAACCCCTTCGAGGAGGTCACATTTCGTGGCACCTCGTACGAAGAAGATCGTATTCGTCAAAGACAGGAATGTCATGAAGTGATACGAGCTCCGACGCCCTTTGTGAATCTTTTTATTGTGGCAGTGTCGACGCGAGGGAGATTAGAACAATGGCCACAGATTTCTGTCGACGGTCGCGGGAACGAGTGGCCTCGGTCGCACGACAACCGAACGAGGAAAAGAATGAGGTTTTTGTCCCCACACCCCGCCATCACCCCTCCTATTAATATTTTTATTGCACGACTAAGCAGGCCTCAGGCGACAAATGACGAGTTGCGGGAGTTCGCAACTACTGCACGAGGGAATCGACAGGAATTGTCTCGAGGGATCTAACGGGGCGAAGAAAAAAGAGAGAACGTAATGTCGCACGTTCCGCTGTCGACGACAGTCTGTGAAGGTGGTCTCCACAGATCGTGAGAATCATGAGCAAAACACCCCTTCAGTTGTGGATCGCGAATTTCCATTTGAAGGAAGTAGTAAGTCTCGCATTCATTTGCAGGATGGTTTCCGGTTCCCAATTAACACCAGGAAAAGGGGAAGGGAGAGAACATTGATATGCGCAGAACAGAGGAGAATTCGCACGCAACAGTTCACTTTCAGCACACGCAAACAAAGGAGGAGAGGAATTCGACATGTCTGCTTTGACAACAATCGTAGAC